GATCAGACCTGCCAAGTTAGGTTTTGTGGGTCAGAGTTTAAGTTCTTGTTCAGCTTCAACCTGACAACAGTTTGTCTGGATCTCTCAGAGAACTAGTTCTGTTTAAGAKAATTCACGTCTTTTTGTCTAACTTTAAAGTTGACTGACAGAAAGTTTTTACTCAATTATTTGGCTGCAAAAAAACTTGTTTTTTTTAAAGTAGGTGGTGGTCATTGATTAGTTTTGTGTTATTTGTATCTTGAGAATAATACTGTAACCAAATGTTACATTTGCCTGTCTTGTTGTGTAAAAGTGTATAAAGCTTGTTACCGTTGATCTCTGTCAGGTTGTAGGGCTCTGTAGCCCAGCCGTCCTCCAGTTTGGCCGGCTGGACGTCAACGTGTCCGTAGACACACACAGTGTGTTTGYTGGTGTCATTACCAAACTCAGCCGTCACAACTTTAGGCAACTCCACCGTCTGATTGTCAGGAAGCTGCAAACGGTACACAGTTTAGTTTTTTTCAGCTTTAGGCACGGCAACAAAACACATGAAGCTTAGCATCGTGGATAACTTCTCAAACAGGCCTGAATGCAGCAGGACTGTGTTTCCTCACGGCTCTCTGAAGACATGATGTGGAGGAAAAACCTCTGCTGCTGCCTGTCCGGTACAAACCGACTGCCTTTTAGCAGACTGGGTTCCTTTAGTACCTGAAAGGTTCCCAGAAGTGGCCAAGGAAATGTTCAAGACCTGACATATAGTTTTGTGAAAAGACTGGCAGAGTAAAACCCAAACAGCTTGTTGGTCCGTATACTCAGAGCAACTGAAAATGTACATTTTTACTGATCATCAGTGTGCATTGCCAATGCAATGCACACTATTGTTTTCCTGTTTCTCCTTATTATTATTAGTCCGCTTATTATTCCGTCTTCTTCCACGTCGCCACGCTACTCCTCCTGCATACTTTGTCCTACAGCTGCCATTGTTATTTCTATCTGTAAAGGTCCTGTGCCAAATGATGGCTATGCCTTCTGGTGTCTGTACAACTTGTAGTTTTTGAAATATTAATGTTTAAACTTTATTCCAAAATTCATATTATGGGAGTCAATTGGGCCTTGTAATGGTCCAATACTGCCCCATGCTGGACTCAACTTGGTACTGTTCCATACTTTAAGTTCATTCTGCAAGTCCAATGCTGCAGGCAAAGCCATGCTGCAATGACATGCTACGTGGCAATGCACACTTGTTTTTACATCGTAAAAACCCATGTCTAGTTTAATTTAATTTTTAATTTAATTTTTGTTGGAGATTTTGTAGTTAGAGCAAAGTAAAACTCTCCCAATTTCATTGTGTTATTGTAACAACCGGGAGGTTTGTATTTTCTTTCTAATTTAACTATATTTCTGTTGTTTGTTCATTTTGTCCTGAGTTGTCTGGATGTTTTTTGGTTTATATTTCTCCCACATGTCATCCTTCATCCTTGGACTGTTCTAACCCTTCAGTTAATCATCCACTGCTTTAGTTTAAAACTCTGCAGCAGGTGAAATATTTTCCTTCAAGAAATGTTTAATGTTTTAAGTTGTTTTTTCAATTGTGAGTGCCTCAACACTCCCTGATGTTTAATGGAAGCAGCTTTGATGTGTTTCAGTCAGTAATRAAGGCCAACATTTGACCCCTCTGCTTTTTATTTTAACTTTGTTTTCTGCACTTGCTCCATTCTGATGAGACAAACTCAAATGAAAAATTGTTCAGCAGCCCATTAAAGACACGATTATAAAGTCCTGATGGCTCTCAGAGATCAGAGCTGGATGGTTTCATCGCTCACCTCCTGCTCTCCAATGTCGACGAGCTGCACGGTTCCTCCCATGAGCCGCAGCTTCTGAGCCACCACCTCCATCATACGATGGAGGTCAGGTCTTCTCAGGATGTTGCTGGAGTCGCTTTCAATCTCAACCCAGTCCCTGAGGGTCTGCAACACACACACACATGGTTGTTGGACCGTGCTTTGACTTCCATTCATTTTTTTTACTTTATAGCCTAACTTTTTCTAAGTCACTTCAGTAGAAAACAGAACTGAATATTATTATCATTATCTTCATCATCACTGACTTTTTTAAGAGAAAAAGAAAAATAAAGAGGAAAAAAGGAGAAATGTAATGTGGAAGATTGAAAGAGAGATTAGAGAAGATATGGGAAATATAAACCAATAAAACCCAAGACAACACACCCGACATCTGTCTGCACATCTATAAAAATGGAGAAAACAAAAACACAGCAACGAATACATTTGTATATCATATTAACTATTATTATAGCCTAACCCTGACCATTTATCCTAAAATTAACCTCACAGGTACTWACCTGACCCTAAAACTAACCTAAACCTTGGTCCTAAACCTAAGCCCCACCCGTAATTTGCATTTGGACCCTCGTGGGGACCAATGCCCAGTCCCCACGATGCACTACGGTCCCCATGAGGGTGCTTTTTTAGGAAAATTTTCACCATCTTGTAGGAAAAACCTGTGTACACACACACACACACACACACACACACACACACACACACACACACACACACAACATGTGAAAATTAAATGTTAAAATCTAATGGAAACATAAAGGCTGTGTAAATTAAAATGTTACCAAAGTGTCCTGAAAAATATTCATTCCCATTTCACATTACAAAACCAAACTTCAGACTGTTTTACTGAGATCTAATAATAAATGTGAAGTAGAAGGAAAACTAAATGTTTAACAAATAAAAATCTGAAAACTGTGAGTCAGTACTTTGTAAAAGTAGCTTTTACTGTGATTCCGCTGCAGTTTGTCTCTGACCAGTTTACACATTTAGACACTAAATGTCTGTTTTCCTTTAAAACAGCTGCAGCAGACTGACCTGAGAGAATTGGTAAATGGTAATTTTCAAATCTCATTATTATATTGGTCTGACCCACTGCTTTGTAGCTCACTCAGACTACAGTTGTTCAGTTTTGGGTGTCCTGCTGGAAGGTGGACCCCAGTCTTTTCAGCCTCCAACAGGTTTTCTTCCAGGATTGTTCTCTTTGTAGCTTCATCCATTTAAATTCAAAGACAGCTTAAAGTTGATGTTGTTGTAACTCACATTATCCTGTTTTTTTAAAGAGTTGTTCTAGATGCTGCTGGCCAGCCTTCTTTATTTTCTTGTGTGTTTTAAAGGAAACCTATCATCCTAGTGATGGGTAATTTGAAGCAGAAGCTTAGGCACATGTATAGAAAAAACCCAGCAGTGTTCCAGATGTATTGGAGCTTGATTTGTTTGGTAGAAGTCACGTGATCAGTGATGTTCGAAGCTTCAAAAGTGTCAGACTTACAAAGGTTCATCATCATCAAAGGTTTATCATTGGCCAGTTTCATGGTGCATTTTGGTGACATTTTTTTGCAAAATATGACAAACCAGTGAACAATTCATRACAATACATGCAGCCAGGCAGACTTGTGTTTAGTTTGAAAGCATTTTCACCTCAAAATTTAAAAAAATGACCAAATGTTCTTAAAATACAATATGATCTTCTTATCACTATAAACTGGTTGAATACACAAAGTCGTGATGGCAGGGGACTGGCAACACAAGCATCATCACAAGCTGCCTGCATGTTTTGCTGTGAGGATGCTGGGTTCAGACTGGAGTACATTGAGGTTGTTTTGTTCTACGTCTGAGCTCTCAGTGATGAAAATCCCATCATTTTCTTTGACGTAGCTTCCACCTCTTCTCGACGCAAGTTTCAGAACAAACTTTGTTTAAGGTTTAATCAGGTTTAATTTAAATCACATTTAAATAGTTTGAATTGTATAAAAAATATCTAAATGCTATCATGAAATAATTGCAGCAGTGTGTAGAAGCATGTCTGTCWCATTGCTTTGAACAAGAATTAAATATTTAAAGGCATTGTTAGGGTCTAAAGCAGTTTTTAAAAACAGATAAAAACATTATTTTTATGATTTTAGTTTTTAGATTAGTTACACACAAAGAGATCTTCAGCAAATCTTTAAGAAATTCTTGGAAAAACCAAACATGTCTGTATTGAGTTTTTGAGTCTTTTGACAAATACAATTTTTTTATTACCAAACTATAATAATTCATCAAATAATRCTCACTTACATTTAACTGCCTGATAAATCTAGATGACAGATGTTACGGGAGATTCAAACACTTCCTGTCTCTTTGAGTCTAAAGCTGAGTGTTGAAATAAAACAGAAACATGTTTCACCTGCACATATTGTTCTTGGTGGCTGTCTACGTACTGCACCAGGTCYGTGTACTGGAAGGCCTGGACAGAAGAAATGACCAGCAGGAGAGAGACCAGAGCTGGAAAACTCATCTGTCAGAAACACAAGAAGCTGTTTWAAGGAAAAGTCTTGGATTTGTTTAAAGAATGCTCTTCACCCGCTGTCATTAGAGTTTTAAACTGTACACGTCTCATGTTGAGAAACGAAGGAGCTGCAGCAGCAGCTAATGTAAAACTTTAGTTATGTGTAACCTCAAGCGTTAATGTAAGATGTCTTCCTCAAAGTCTCAGCTACTACTACACAACCAGTTTTAACTTTATACAGTATCTATAAAACTGACTGAGCTGTAGCTACTTTTGATTTGGGTACAGGAGCAGAACCATAGTGGCAATTAACATATTATTAAGTAATATCA